GAAAGTACACAATATTTATATTGTGGAGCAAAAGTAAGCAAAAACAATGTGGCATCCGTTGGTTGCTTAAGTATTCACCCTCCTGAGAATACTTGGTTGACGCACTTTTGGCAGCAATTGCAGCTGGGAGTCTGCTTGGGTATCTAGCTTTGTGCATCTGAATCCTGTGATGTTTGCTTGCTCTTTCCAGCAAAACTGATCCAGATCTGTCAGGTTGGGTAGGGACCACTGGTGAATAGCACTGTTGAAGTCTTGCCAGCAATTCTCAATTAGATTGAGGTCTGGGCTTTGACAGGGCCATTCTGAGACATTCAGGTTCTTGTTTTTAAACCACTCCAGTGTTACTTTGTCTGTGTATTTATGATCATTGTGCTGCTGGAAGGTGAACTTCTGCCCCAGCCCGAGGTCATGTACAGAGTGAAACAAGTTTTTCTGTAGAATTGCCCTCCATTTGGCTCCAGCTGTCTTGGTCTCATTCCTGAACAGTGCCTCATTTCTTCTAAGGAAAAGTCTCCTTTCAACATGATACTGCCACCAGCATGCTTCCTGTGAGGATGGCGCTCTTAGGGTAATGAACACTGTTGGCTTTGCACCGCACACGGGATTTTGCAAGCAAGGCCAAAAAGTCTGGTTTTGCCCTCATCAGTCTGGAGAACCTTTCCCCACATTTGCTGTGTCTCTCACATGCCTTCTTTAAACTCCAGAAGGGCTTTGGAATGGCTTTCCTTCAGCAACGGCTTTGTTCTCACCTCACTTCCATGAAACCTAACTTTGTAGTACATTCCATGGATGGTTTTCCTCATCCCAACTAGAATTCTCCAGCCCCTTCAGAGTTACAATCAACAACAATTTGATTGTTAAAATTTACAATCCCTTCTTGGTTGCCTCTCTGACAAATGCCTTCTTTACATGTTCACTGGATTTTTGTGGATGCCCTTCCCTAGGCAGTGTCTGAGGAGTTATAGTCTTCCTTTTTGTAATAATAGAGGTAATGGTGCTCTACAGAGTATTCATAGTTTGGGATTTCTTTAATAACCAACCCTCATTGATGCTTCTGCATAACAGTATGCTGAAGTTTTGATAGTTCCTTGGTCGTCATGATGTTTTTTGTTCAGCTATGCTCTGCAACAAATTGAATACACCAGAAACAGGTGTGTTTAATCTGAGATCATGTGGCACTGAAGCTCTTACTTACAATATGGGGCTTTGGGAGGTGGTCCCAGAGCTTATTAAGCCATGTCACAGCAAAAGGCTAAATACTTATGTGGCCTACAAGTGCTAGCATGTTCTTGTTTACTTAATTTTTGTGCCATTGTGACAATATTTTAAACCTTCACAATGCTGAGTATCTTTTGTACATTGAGTATTAACAATGCTGATTGAACCCATTCAGTTTCAGATAGTAACACAACAACATGTGGAAAAATCAACGCAGGGGTGAATGCTTATGCAAGGCACTGTACATTCTTGTACTGAATGAACAAAAGTTCTTCCATGGGTGTTGTCTGGTATGGAATAGCTTGAAAACCTCCCTCTTGCAAAAATTTGACATGTGTAGTCTGGAAATTGGCTATCCTCATGTTGCCCAACCCAAATAAAGTAAGTTTCTCAGAGAAATGACTTGGTTGGCTGCTGCCTTGTGGGTACTTTCTGTGTGGGATTCACCATTCTTCCCCTTTCTTGGTTCCTTTTTCTTGTTCTTTCCTTTGTAACAGTCCCTAGATGAGGATATTACATGAATAGGGTACATGGACAGTAATGTACAGAGCTGGTAATTTTCACATTGTTTCTTCAAAATTAAGACCATTCAGTAAGTATATTTCTAACAGGACTTAGCATTTACTGTGGGTGTATCAGTTTAAATGCTGATACATGCAAAAGTAGAAGGATAGTAAATTAGTTTGCAGGATCAGTTTCTCTAGAAAGCAATTTCCCTAGAAAAACATCTTCCAAATGAAGGAAGTTACAGTTTAGCTGTAAGTACAAATCCTGTGAATCTTTCTTCCTGTTTCCTCTGAATGGGCTGATAATTTCTTTTTTTCTTTTTTATGTATTGTTTTTCAGAATTAATTGTCTGCTCTTTCTTACCCACTCAACAATCTACTTAAGCAATTTAAACTTTATGCTAATTCTGCTAAGATGTCTTAGACAAATTCTTGAATCATTTGCATTTTGGAGACACAGGATGAATGTCCCCCCTCAAAAGAGAGAGAGAGAGAGAAGAGAAAAAAAGAAAAGAAAAGAGAAAAAAAGAAAAAGGAAAAAAAGGCCTAAGTGCTTGTACCCTGATGGGGAGATGGGTCCCAACTCTCAAAATACAGTATTCACTGCAGCCCTTTCAGATTCAGAATGAGAGAGAGGCACTAAAATATCAAGGTTAACAAGCAAGTTTAGACAGGAGCTGAGAACCAGACCATCTTGGGTGCCAAGGGAGACACTGTAAGGAGGTTTTCAGGTGTGAATTCCTAAACCCAGAAGAAGGCACCAAGCATACTGCTTGAGCAATGTCAGGCATTCCTGTTTTTTGGCCCACAAGAAGAACAAACCACCCTGAGGGTGGAATCAAGACTGTTGAAAAAGGAAGAGAGGAAGGGGTCTTTTCAGGTTAGAATCAGCTCTTCACATGGGCAGAAGCTACTCCCACAAACTGGAAGGATCTTTATCTTGATTGATGCTACTCATTAAACTTTGTAGAAAGAATGCTAATAACTCCATGAAACCAGTCAAACTCTAATAAAGGTCTGCATTGTAAAAACTTCATGTTTTGGTCAGTTAGAAAAAGGAGAGATTTGATCATGACATCTGTCATAAATATTAGTGCAGGCATATCTGCAGGCCATGAAGTCATTTTACCATGTTCTGTAGCTTAGGGTAGTGTTAGTAGTGGCTATTCATTGTATTTTAAGCATTAGTACTTAGTGCTACAGTTTCTGAGAATTTTGACCCTTTGCTTTTAGTGTGAAGGACATAGTCAAATAGTGTCAGAGACGGGAAAGCTTTTGCAATTTCCTGATGATGCCAGCCAAACTATTCAGAACAATAGTTTGCATATTTCCTCTTCCTACTACTTTCTTTTAGGCATAAAGTTTTGACGTGTTGGTTGTCTCAAATGGTTATAGGTTGTTCTGGTGACACAGAGCAGCCATGGTTATGCTGACTAATGAACCCTTGCTTCATTCTTAAAACTGTTGCTTCATAGCCAATTAATTGCTATGAAGTGTTAATCAGGAACTCAGACTTTTGGGGTGGTGGGCAAAAGTCATCTTGTGGCAGAAGTGGTTCAGACTTTTACTAGCCAAGAGCTATGTATACTGCTTCCATTCCCTCTGTGGCTTGTAGTTCCACCAGCCTTTTTTAAAGCAGCTCTGAAGGTGAATAACATAACTGTCAAAATAGAAAATCATAAATCCAACCTTACACTAAATCATAACAGACAAATACAGCAACAACATAAAAGATGAGCCTCATTATTATAGGATATTGCCCTCAACTATTTCTGCCTAGAACAGGAGTGTTTCCTGTGACAGACAGACCTTTGTGGGGGAAGAACTCCTTAAGCTTTGGAGGTACTGTTGAAAAAGTCTTGGCTCTGATAACCATCAATGTAGCATCTGAAGGAGTCAGGAGAGACTCATGAGTGATTGGGCAGCTTTGTAAGGAAGCAGGCAGTCCTTTTTAAAGCTTATATTTAGCTCATCCAAAATGGTCAAACTCTACATTCACAACCTTCTTCTTTGATGCAGTTGGTCCACAGTCCAGCTGCTATGTAGAAAATAGAAATTAAGGTGTAACCGCTTAGAGACTTAATACTGTCAACAGTCTTAATCACATTAAGTGAAGGCACAGCAATTCATAAATACAGTGACGGATCTGCTGAAGCAAACATTGAGAGGCAAACAAGATGAATAATCCTTGCCTACAACTTTGAGATTATGTAAATTCATGGTCCAAATCTTGTCTGAATGTTTTATTTGTTACTTTAAGTATTTTTAACTTGTTCTCTGTGTTTATGACAGATGCTACTACAGGAGTAAATTTTACAAAGCACTTTTATTATTCTATTTATGCCAGTGCAATTAATACAATTTAACATGCAAACTTCACCTTTTCATCTCTTCCACCCTTAAAAAAAATCTCCCCCTTATTAAATACCTTTATTGTGGTGTAAGCAGGATTGATTATGAGTGTATTCTGGAATAACTATTCCAACATTTTAGGGTACATTCTCTGGTTTGTTGAAGCATGTCCCTCTGGGCATACAGTGACCAATTTTAGTATCATGTCAAAGGCAATGTCTGGTTATTGAATAATCTTCAGCAAGCCAACAGCTCACCTGCTTCCTTTGCCCCTCTTCTTCTCTGGTCATGGCCACAGGGAGGAAATAGGAAACTTTTCCTTGTTTTTTGTCTTTTTGTCTAAACCCTGACAAACTGTAGTTAAACTTAACTTTGCTTTATTAGAAGCATAGCCATTTCAACAAAGTGTTGTTAAAGTTAACTACAGTTTAGGTTTTGGTTGTAATGCTAAATTGCAGTTGAGAAAAAAGTGGAAGTAAAACCTTAGAATCTCTGCATGACTATACAAGTGAGGAGAGGAAAGTGATGCACACACGCCCAGAACATTCTGCAGCTTGTTTCAATCTTGATAAACCATGAGTTCTCTAAAACGAGTCTTGTGGCACCTTAAAGACAACATTTGTTCTGGCAAGGCTTTTGGGGACAGTATACATTCCATCAAATGGTTTATCATGACATCTAAATGTAGCTATTTTTTTGCAGAGTATATTTATGTAACTTTTAGTTCACATGTTTTATGGTAACAGCTTTCATTGAACCACTTTAATTTTATGTTTTTGTTTTAAAGATTTCTGCACTTAGCC